ACACACACACACACACACACACACACACACACACACACACCCCTACTAGTGCGGAGAAAACTCAAAACACACACTCCTCCACCTGCACAGAGCTCATTACCTCATGAGAAGCACAAAATTATGCAGCGCGACACACACACACGCACACACACACTCTCACATTGTATCATACTCACAATAATGTTCATGACAGTTCCAAGCTAGTTGTTAACTAACCTAAACACAAGTGCACACGCACGGCACCAACCCACATACTCTGAGCTCAACATAAACCACTGTGTTATACCAGAGCTCCAGGGAACTTTTTCCCACACGCAAGTCTATTCTGGTATCTGTGTGTGTGTGTGAGTGTGCATGTGTGTTTGTGTTTCTCTGCTTGTTTTTTGTGTGCATGCTTTAAATATTGTCAAATCAGGGGTTTGTGAATCCCTAGAAATAAAACTACCCTGAGAGTGACCCTTACTTAAGGAGGAAAAGAAGGGAGGGACAGAGAGAAAGGGAGAGAGAGAGAGAGAGAGAGGCGTGGATTGACAACAGAGAACAGAAAGTGTTCAGATGTGGAGATAAACAAACAACATCAAGGGAAAATGAAAGAATGAAGAGAGAGCGATAGAAAGGGAAGGGTCAAACATCACAACTCTACCACAGAGTATCCACAGTGGTCAATTAAAAATGAATACTTATACACATATGAATGTATATATTCTGTATATATGCAAGCATAAAAGGGAATATCCCCCTATGGCTGACAAGTGTGAAAATGTTGTGTTTGTGTGTACTTGTACTCAGATCTTTGTGGGGACCATTTTGAGCATAGACTTTACTGAATGAGGACATTTTGGCTGGTCTTCACTGTGTTCTCTTGCTGTTAGGGTGAGGTCCAGGTATTACTCATGTTGTGGAGACCTACATCTGTTGACACAGCCACATTATGGGGATCTGTCCTCCTTACGCAGAGAAAAAGCAAATCCCAATTATGTAAATCATCGTGTGTGTGTGCAGGTGACCTTGATGTACCGCATCATTTACATTGATCCAGGGAAGAGGAACGAGAAAAGCTTTTTTTGAAGAAAACCGCAAGTTTGGCTGAGCCTTTGCATACTATGTAAATAGAAGAACATTAAAGCGAGGACTATGTTTGAATATGGAACAACTGAAATGATGCGTGACATAAGAATAAAGAAGTTAATGTTAGCGTTCCCGACAATGGATGTATTCAAAAAAATTTGCTTGGGCCTCATTCATCATTACATTACAGTATGGTGTGTATGCACTGCGTGTGACTTCAGTCACCCAGCCCGACACAGACTCTGTTCTCATATACGTCCCAGAGTTACTGTCTCTATCTGGAACAGAGTCTCCAGGAGAGCCAGTATTAGCACACCAGCGATTTTTGTAACAAAGGTCTTTCCAGCTGTGTCCGTCTTCATCCCCTACAACCATGTGAGGATGAGTCCTGAGACTTTGCATAAGGAGAAAGACTTTTAACTTTTGACTTTTTTTTCTTGACATTTTCTTCCCAATATCTTAGTCTGAGGTGAATCTGTGATGGTTCAAATAGAGTTCAAATCCATCTATTTTCTATCTGCTTAGCCTGTTCGGGGTCAAAGGGGCATTTAAAAGGACCAAAAACGCTCTGGGCAAGAGTTTTAACTGTGTCTCTGAGTCCCTATAATTGATTTTTTTATGTGTATGTCAGCTGACACAGAGAGTGTATCAGAGTGAGGTCAGGTTTACTGCACAGACATAAAGAGCTCATGTGACACCACACACCCACCCACACACACACACACACACACACACACACACACACACGTACTGTCAACAGCAGGCGAGATAAGGCTGCACAGCTGAGGTACAGTAGTCCTGCTACAGCAGGGATCAGGTAAGACGTAACCTCACGGCACTACGGCGGGGCTGTGCCAGTGCAATAGAGACGTCTGGCAGGAGACGGGGTAATATCGTTCTGACCTGATTACATTCTTAGAACAATCATTTTTAAAAGGCAGGGCTAAACTCTACTTAGGCTTAATGGACCACTTTAACAGGAGGCTTGGCAAAACCCTGAAAATGCACACGAACCAAATCACAGACACACTGACTGACCGTGTTGTGATCAGACGAGGAGGATGAGGCTGCGGAGGGTGTGGGGGAGTGGTGGTGATTGTTATTTGTGGTGGACAGGGAGCCATTCTTGATGGTGTTGCGCTGTGAGCTGTCGCAGTAGTCAGCTGGGGGGAGCACCATGGTCGCCTCGTCTGTCTCCGTGTCCTGGTGGTGCAGGTTGACCACACTTCTACTGCGGTATGGTGCAACAGACATGCTGTGGAGGAGGAGGAGAAACAGGGAGATGAAAGATGGAGTGGAGGGAGAAAAAGAGGAAGGACAGTAGGAAAGGAGGAAAAAGGCCACTGATTAAAAGAACACACATCTCCTGGCATGTGTGTGTGAGCTTCTGTGTTTCGACTGAAGAGGTTTGTGTTGAAGTTGACGTTGGGTTCACGGACATGATGTTACGATTAAGGTGATGGGATGCAGACTGTGTGTGTTGTGTCCCGCAGCGCTGGTTAGGGTTTAAACTTGTGTTTCCGTGACTGGTAGCAGTTGGCTGGCAGCCTCTCTGTGGGAGGTGCAGCACATTAAGATCTAATAAATTAATCCTGCAGGGATTAGTCTCTTTGAAGAAAAGCCTGGAGTCGACCCCCCCTCCCCTTTCTCTCATCAGCAGCAAAATCTATTTATCAGCACACAACATCCTGTTTCCTGAAGTTTTGCTGGGCTTGTGTGAATTTCACATTTAATTTAAATTACTGTGTCCTGAACACCAATATATGATCAAAAGATACCCAGATGTCCTTTTGGGGTAACATGGAGGAGACACGATTTATGACCCATACTGCATCCAGCCACCAGGTGGCAAATGAAACTCTTTGGCTTTACTTCTGGGGAGCTGTCATGTCTTATTGGTCTTTCTGTCTTCACAGTCCAGAGCAGTGGCTGAAGGTTTCTCAACAGACTGATACATAACTTTTAAATACAAATAAAAACTTGAGCACGATGGGAATCATCATAGGATGAGAAAGGTTAACAGGGGTAACCAGAGGAAATACTGCCAACAATACAGCTGGCTGTAACATGAAGCCTGCTGTGTCTGTGTGTGTGTGTGTAGCTGGAACGTGGAGTCTCCTTACCTGTTGTTATTCATGAGTGGCTCAGAGAGTGCCAGGCAGTAAGATGAAGGGAACCAGCCCCTCCTGCGAAAGACAGGGACAAAGAGAGAGAGAGAGAGAGAGAGAGAGAGAGAGAGAGAGAGAGAGAGAAATTAGGGATGATTACATCTGTGGTGTATCTGACTGTCGGCTGTCCTATCAGCTGTTATTGAACAGGAATCTGAAAACCTCTATGAGTGATTGGTCAAGAGCTCAGCTGCTCTGCTGTGTAATCAACAGCTTCTTCCATCATCTAATCAGAGGATACAGAGGCACAGAGGATAGAGAGAGAGTTACAGACGCAGGTGTTTGTATTGTCGAGATATTATAGAGCTTTTATCTTTCTCCCCGATTGTTGTATAAACCGTGAGGATACCTTTGGTAACTATGGCAGCGAAAAAGTGGGAATCCATCAGAGAAAATAATCGGAGCATCTGGTTTGCAAATAGATTTTATCAAAATTAATTTTCTTTTTCTAAATGACAAGACCATTTACCATTTACACACATACGCCAAAATAATCCATACTTCATTATGGATGTGAAAAAGATACAGAGTCAAATGGTTGACTTAAATTTAAGCTACTCAAAGAATTCTCACCTTTCTCGGTTAATTTCATCTTGGAAATACATTTAGTCGGAGTTTCCATGAGAGAACGATATGACTAACAGCTTCTCTCAATCAGAAGATCAGGCCAAGGACTGTGTGTCATTGTGCCGTCAAGGGAACAAGATTGTTCGCAATCAGCCTCTCCCTCTTCCATGTGGATGAATGTTAATATTTGCACATTAAGCCTGAAGAGCAGGCGTTTCCTTTCATGCCTCTGATAAAAATCACAACGGGAAAACACAACTCACTCAATCGCACTCATATTAATAATAGCTCTTATTTATTCAGGGAATGGTTTTCCACTGAAAACATGCACTCCTTTCCAGCACAGATGTAACTGCCAGCTACTGGAACAACTTGACATTAATAAAAAACCTTGCTCGAGGAGAGCTCGGTAGCACTGTTAGCCGGGGGCGTTCACTTTCCCCTGGTGACTTTCTCCTGGACAGGAAATCAAACCTCTAACAAGACGGTTTGGATGATGAGATGAGAGGATCAGATTCATATATCGGAGAAGAAGAGACGGCGAGTGTCTGTGAAACGTTGCCCCGTCGAATTCTGCAGTACTGCTGCATTTTTCACACGCTGCGATTCGAATGCAGCCCTGCCTTACTGACATTCATTCTTCTGTCCATTAATACTGTGTGTGGGTATCGGAATCAGTCTACTTGTTGCCAGGCAAGTTGCCGGGATACACTATCAAAGCTGAAATAAGACAAAGGAAGAAACCCAGCGAGAGACCCGAAAGCATGAAAAGCCAAACCTCCTACGGGACTTGAAGCCTCTCTCTTCGGATGCTGTCTTCTGATAGACACAATGATATACACTTTTTAAGCCTTTAGGCAGCAGCTCGTAGCAGCAAGACCAAAGTTTGACTTTAGAAAGAAACTCAAAAATTATTCTTTTCTGCCCTTGATCTTTTTTTTTTCAGGATATATTCGCCAGGTAATTTCCCTTGATAGAGATAGAGATCAAACCTGATGAATGATTTAAATTCAAAAACACACTTCCAAGGGCTTCAGATCAAATCCCTGTTTAAGAAGTCAGACATCAGAGACCTGGGGAGAGCAGGCTTGGTTTGGCTCCTGCTTGTGCGAGAGAGCAGGTGGTACCTCTGAACTTCTCTCTCCGCTATCGTACATCCTGCCCTCAGGCCGTACTTTGGTTTGATTTCCTTATCAGTGAGTGTTCCAGCTCAGGCATCACTCGATGAGCCCAGAGCGCTGGGTGTGTGTGTGTGTGTGTGTGTGTATGTGTGTGCATGTTAGTGGGCATGGCTGGCATCAACAATCAAGTAAGGGACCACCTGGCCAGTTAGGACAGAGCAGTCCAACTCATATAAATCACATGATCATTAGATGGACAGAAGAACCTGACAGGAATAATAAAAACAACGGAGGAGGAGGCTAATTCCAGAAATGTGTCAGAACACACATCTCGAGAACCGTTGATCTTATCAGCTTCATGAGACACAAGGAAGTGCGGTGATGAATTTGGTGTGATGTGGACATGTGAAACATTTGATATCAATAGCAGCAGCAGGGGTGTGTGGCATCGTGCCTTAACAGAAACACGTTACTACTTTTCTTGCAAAACATGTGGTTCGACTCACTTTCCGCTCTTCTCCATTTCACCATACATCCACCCGTCTCTCTCCTCGGGAATGAGCAGGACGAGGACGTCCCCCTCGTCAAAGCTGAGCAGAGTGCTGTTGTTGCCGGCGGTGTGAGGGAAGATGGTGCGCACGCGAGGCCTTTTCACAACATTGTTGAGGCCCGCCCCGACGGACACAGACCTGGGGAGATTGTTCTCCTCAATGTTCCCATGATCTGGAATTAGAGGAAGGAAGAAAGGTACGGATGGAGTGATACAGAGAGGACAAAAATAAGAAGCATCATTTATAGTGACATATTTCACGTACACTCTCAAGCTTAAAGAAACATCATACGTCATAATTACCTGTGCTGCTGTTGTTGGTGATGGGGGTTACAGGAGAAGGTTTGTTCTCCTGGGTGAACATGTTCACCAGAGGGCTGGCCACAGGCTTCAGAGGTGGAGCCACAGGAGCAGTAATGTTCTGCCATAGAGCATCAATCATAACGTTAGCATGTTAGCAAGTGTGCAAGTGTGAAGCCAGTACAGCAAAATAAATATCTGTCACCCAACTGGTCTGAGTGTCATTCACATACACATTATCTTAACTAGACTAAAAAAATAAATATGACAAAATATTGCCTTTACATGAGTTTTTAAAATAGATATAGAATAAATAACTAAGTGATTAGCAACTGTACATCGTGAACAGATCTTGAAGTATTCGTGGTTGCACCACACTGTGTGTACCATGAAACAAAGCAGCGACATATCAAGCACAAGAACGTGTATTTATTTCTACCGTCATACCAGGCTGCGCTGTGACGGGGAGGGAGAGGGCAGCGGCGTGATGGAGACCGGCGTCCGCAGCCCCTCGATCATCGACAAGACGCTCTCTGGCATGTTGGTGGCGTCGTTGCACTGGTCCTGCCAAGTGCTCAGCTTCTCCGTCAGTATATCTCTGGCCTGTCCAGCAGCACAGACATGGGCAAAATATATCAAAGGGAAACTGAGCGAAAATCACTATGCACACGTTTTCATCACTATGGGAACACGATGCATGGTGGGCTTTTGTAATAAATTGTTCTGGCAGCTGTTTTGATCAGATTCAAAAGAAATGCTTTTCTCTACACAGATATTTCTGTCATTTTGAACTCCATATTTTATCTAACATAAAGAAAGCTGGTCACCAACACCCTCATGCATGTAAACCAGTACAGTGGCGTGTACCTTGTCGTGGAAGGAGGCGGTCTGGTAGGAGAACACACAGTGTTTGTCCACCAGGAAACAGAAGCGTCTCTTCTCCTCCAGCAGAGCCTCCTTGCAGCCGTCTGCAACGAACAACTGCATGTCCATCTGACGGCTCATCAATGTTTCCAGGCACTGACGACGTACACACAAACAAAACACACACATACATGCTCAAGTGATTTGCTAGAACATCGTCCAAATACAATACCTCACACATCCATGCAAGTTCTGAGTCCATGCACAAGCAAATATAATTCCAGTCTCTGTGAATGGTCTGTTGTTTGTAAGAGATGTTGTTGCCATATAGAAAAGATCATCACATTGTCTTATCAGCCTGTGCACATGGTTGGCGGTCATTTAAGCCCTTTCACTGCAAACCTGTATGCAAATCCAACAACGGCAAACATATGAAAGGAGCACAATTCCTTTATGAGCATCCTAATCTCAGTCTTGCAGAACAGGTATTATTAGACTAGAGTTTACTGTATTGGCCGATTGGGACGTCGTCAGTGTTTAGAGCAACAGGAGGGAGATGGTCAGTCTTATCTGCACTGACAGCCTGCGATTATAGAAGAAGGACTCACGTGTGTCTATGTGCATCAAAGTGTCAGTTAGCTTTCTGAAATCACAGACTCCTCTCTCAGCTTTGATCCTTTTTTATTAAATCTAAAACTTGTTTCACCATCGATAATATCTCGTTGTATTTTACATTTCTTTTGAAATCAAGAACTAAGAAGCTGTGTGCAGAGTTTTGTTACTGTAGTAAATGTAGATACAAGTGAACTGACATGAGAAGAATAGATCCGGATTATTACCTAACTCCTTGACCTGGTGAGTTTTCACAAACAAATTCATATGATTCTGTAGCTACACACATACATTTTTATGGGGAAAGTTTCTTATAGTGAAACCATTTGTTTCAGGTGAGATCCATATTGTCTTCCTCACTGTCTGGAATGGGCACACCTGCTAACGGCTGTAAACACAATGGCACACACACCCTCTCTATTCAGCTCTCACAACCGTCCTTATCTGATAAATCCTTTAAATGGCCGAGGGCTTTATTTAACAGGAGTCTGAGGAAACACACGCATCTGCAAAACATTCAGTTTCTCCTCTCCTGTGTCAACTGTGTGCCCGGAAACATATATTTAATGGAAATGTGGCAGCCACCTGGTCGGAGAGTGTTAATGACACTAATTTATATGGAGTGTCACAATATGGTGTAAAATGTATAAAAATACTTAATAATTCAATACTGTTGAATTATTTCTATACAAACTGTCAGAACAGATTTTAAGGGACTAATAATAGAATCTAATTCCAGTGGGAAACATAAAACATGAACTGTGTAAACCTGTGTTTGTTTAGTAACAACAGCTAAATAACTCCCAGCAGACTGATATCACCCTTGTGCAAACACTGCCGTTTGTCTAATGGCAGGAAGTCCTCACATGAACCTTGGCTTACATTTGTGTCAACAAAAGAGCTGATGCAAATTTCACCAGCAAATAATCACAACTACACAAATAAAAGCAGAAATAAAAGTCTTATTATTTCTGCCCATTCGCTCCCCCTTCATCTCCTCTCCTACTGTGGTTGTGTATCTGTTTAACTTTTGGAGCTGATGCTACCAAGTTTATGTTGAATCAGCCCTCCTGCTATAACGCATAAAATCTATATGGATGTTTTAACGGTCACTTACATGGGCAGGATTTCTCCCGGTGCTGCTAATGGTCAATCTGACTCTGACAGATGGTCAGTGTGTGTGTTTGTATGTTGTGTGTCAGCAGCACTAACTATAGGCTGCTCACTCGCACTCAAATGCTCTGTCTGCACATACAGTGCTATATCTCATAGTGTATCTATGTAATACAAAATGCAAAAGTGTTTCCTGCAAGTCCAAGTGTGCCACAGTGGCTACATTCATTTAGTTAATTGAGGTGTTTAATTTAATCACAGTGCTTGAAATGAATAACCAAACGTATCACATCCATTTAAAGTTCTTCAAATTCTTTCGTCTATTCTTGTGTTTTGCTTTGGCAAAAAAAAAAGAACTGCTCTTGTATAACGTGCCAGTAAAGATATTTTGAATTAAACAGAAGTGAGGGAGAGAAAAACGAGGGAGAAAAAAAATGACAAGAGAGTGAACACCTTTCCAGAAAGTGGGCGGCATAATTTGTACTAACAAGTGGATGAGGAAAGAACCAGGGGGAGTGTGAAATGCTATTTCCACACACACACACCCTCTTAATCACTTTTCATCTATCAACACTGCAGCAAGCCTGTTGCTATGGATAACCTGTTTATCTGAGAGCTATAGGTAAAAGAAAGAGAGGGATGGAAATGGAGAGATTGAGAAAAGAGGAGAAAAAACCCAGTGCTCTCTCTGACACATAAACTCTTGATACATGTCTCAATCTCTGTTAATCCCGTCGACAGGGAGAAAAACTTGGGCTAGTTTTTTTTGAGTCTTTTAATCAATTGTTTGACAGCTGTGGCAGCTCTCCCACTTTTTTTTTTTTTTTTAATCTTGTCTTGACTTTTTGACGGATGGCTCCGCAGCTTTGAAGTCTCTTTGGTGAACAGTGAATCAGCGGCTGCTAAGCTCCTGACACCCTGTATGTCTGCTTGCTGGACCATCTCTGTGTTTGTCGGGGATCTAAATCCTTAAATCAGATAAGTCAGCACAACAGTGAAAGAATACTCCTGAATCTCAGCCTGGTGGGAAGGTAGGGGAGGAAAGAGGTGATGGAAAAAAAGAAAAAAAAGTTAGGTGAAGGAGGGATTGAGATGGAGGGAAAAGCTTCAGGACTTTAAAAAGAATAAGACAGAGAGAGATGAATCCAATAAGAATGAGTTTAACATAAAATATGTAATTTGGGCTCAGGTATAGGTTTGACCTCGCCGGCAGAATACACAAAACCCTTGAACATTCAGAGATGCACACAAACACACACCCAGGCGAACAGGCGGCCTGACTGGATCGATGTTGGGCATGTTATGTTAGATCTCTCAGGGTCGCAGCTTTAAAAAACTCATCCGCAATTTTCTTTCTGCAGTGTCACTGACTGGGGGTGGAGGTATCATATCATAACAACTGAAACTGGCGGTAATGACTTCACATTCCACTGAGATTTATTGTGTACAGTTAGCTAATGGCAAAAAAAGAGCCTCGCTGATCAGGATCCACCAAGTTTTCTGTTAATCTGTCAAATAGTTTTTGCACATTCCTGCTAACTAACAGATAAACAAATAATTAATAGCAAATGAAAATGCCCTAATGAAGGTTAGAACCAGACAAGGATTATTTTTGACTGCCTCAGGGCCTGGGTATATTTGAATACAGAAACTTGATGGTGCAACATATTAAATTCAAAACACATTACTATGTGGTTCTGAAAAGGAAGCGGACACACACATCTAACACATATTAATTAAAACCTAGAAGGGAATATTTGAATAGGGCAGCTAAGGTTCTGCATTAACCAAACATTACTCAGACGTCCAAACCAATAAATACTTCCTCCTCTGAGTTTCATGCAACCAAGTGTTGCTCTGAATGTTCTTTTCTGATTGTACAAATGATTCAGTATGAAGATGGTGCAGCCCTTGTGTGCAGATAATTCACTTGCACGGTAACTTTTATCCAGTAACTCAAATTTGAACATTCCTCATTGTTTTGCTTGCGTGTGCGTGTCCAGGTTTGCCAGTGTGCATGCGGGTGGAGGTGCAGGTGGGCAACAACAAACATAGATCTTCTTCTCCTGCATGACTGCCCAGAGCAGACACTTCACACATTGTCCCCAACTACTGTTACACCGGCTTTGACATGATGCATCTCAGGTATCAAGGTTTGTCAAAGATTGAGTGTCTGTGTAATTATGTCTATGCACATGTGAAGAACATGTGTGTGTGTGTGTTTGTGTGTCACAGAAAGAGCATCCATGTGTGTGTCACGTATCTACACATTGTTTCTACGTTCATCTCACCTCGCTCTCCCTGTTCTCGTACTTGTTGGCGTTCTTGCCTTGGCTCTTTCTTCTCAGCTTCTTCAGGTCAGACTGGGACTTCTCCAGAGAGTCCTGCTTCATCTTGTGCTCCATCTGATACCTCTTGAATGTGGCCTGATGCAGAGGAAAACGCATGAATGCTGGAAATCCAGAATCAGGTCAGGCAGAAATGATATAAAAATGTATTTGCAATTTCAATCAAGTGGCTAATTAAGGATTGAAAAAGCAAACAAACACAGGTATTGTGTCTCTGGGGTTTGGACACGTGACATACAGTATCTACTCCTCGGTTTGCAGAACACACTTGTCTTAACTTCATCATTTAAAAACTTTAGATTTTGCCAGATTTTATAGAAAAACACACACACAAACAACTCACTGTCATGTATTTGACGTCCATGTCTGTCTTTTTCTCAAGCTCGATTATTATCTCCCTGTGGAACCTCTTGAACTTTTGGTGAGGAGGATGGAGGGAGAGGGGGGAGAGAGGGGTAGAAAACAAACAGCTGATTAGAACCTTGACGGACGGACGGACGGAGCAGTTTGTCAGATTCGCTGACACAGGGAAACAGGGAAAAAGTCTCAAAGAGAGAAATGAAGAGTGATCATATGGAGTGTATGGGTGAGTGTGTGCGGGGGTGAGAGCCCCATCCAAGGTTGCGTTTATGAATTAGTCAGAAACGAAGCGTGGGAATGCCCACAGACTTCTCTCTCTCTCTCTCATTAGTGTGAGGGTGTCTAAGCACTCCCACCGCCACCGCAGCCTTGTTGCCTGTTGCCATGCAGTGACGGCACCCACACGGGGCGGATCAATGAAGTGGTAGACCCTGTTACTGAACTTGCGCACACACACACACACACACACACACACACACACACACACACACACACACACAGCAGACGAAAAGGTTTTCTTCCATCATTTTCTCTGACCTGAATTAATGCTGTGAGTCATCAACTGGAGTCCATTAACAAGGCAACCCACCCACTGACGCTGTTCGTAACAGTGTCTGAGAGGAGCGCCGTGCAAATTTTCTGACCCAAAGTTCAACTTTAACAGGTTATTTTCAAAGTGTGACTGAAATCTGAAATCATTTGCAAAATAGAAAACATCAGTTATTTTGGTTACATGTCTTGTTAATGACCATTAAAGGAGCTCATAACCCAAGGAGGAACTTTCTAATCATTGGTGCAGATCCAGATGCTCTTCCTTTATCTTTCTTTATCTTTCAATGAAAGGTTGTTTTTAAACTTTTTTAAAAATTTCTCATAGAATAATTTATGGATCTTGATGTGAAAAATCAGACATGTAAAGGGGACTGATATTTATGACTTTGTGCAATTTGGTGCAGATCCAGATAGAAATCTGTATCTAGTGAATTTTAATGTGGTTCCTTTAGAGGACTGTTGGGCCTTGGTTGAGGTATTTGCTTTATTAAATATCAGGTTGTATTCTAATTGCATGATTGGGAAAACACTAATAGTCAAATAATCAATTAAGTTCAGAATCATTAAGACAAAACATTCTGCAGGAAATTATGGAAGAACGGTTTATCAAGGGAAATAAGCACAGGCCCAGAGCGGTGCTCCTGGAAGAAACAAGCCAGGGCCAGAAACCATTTAGTTTGTTTCCTCACTGCCTTTTCCTGTGCTGTGGTTCTATTTTTCTCAGCGGAGACACTGTCCATTTAGGAGAAGACTGCTCCGAGTTTCCACATCTCAAGCGAGCGTTAAAAACATCAGTTTTCATTCTTTTAAACATGTGCTTTTTATTTCCCATAATTTAGTTTTGCCATTGACTCTTGTATATTTCAATGACTGTTTTTGTGTGTGTGTTTGTGTTATTTGTCCCTCGTTGTATATCTATTTGAAACTTAATTAACTGCTGATCTTGACTCACTGGCAGAAGAGATATTGTCTCTCACTGGTTAGATAATAAGGATCAATAAATAAATAAATAAAATAAAGTAGTAGTAACAGATTTATAGCAATTTAGAAAAGGAAAATGTCAAACAAACCACAGATCTTTGAGGTGCAGTATCTTGGGCTCTTAGAAAAGCCACTGAGCATTTATCCTGTCTTCGATTTAATAAATTTAACAATCAATAAATTAATTTGAATTAAATAAATCAATCAGGAAAATAGTCATTATGTCCCAACCTCCTGTGACATTACTGTGTATTCTCAATGCACCAAATTGTAACAGCTCCAGCTGGTGTTTTCCCAGGACGTGTTGAGGCCTGCCCCCTGTTCTCAGTGAGGAAATAAACCAACAACCCAAACCTGTTGTTTCCCTTCCTCTTGCAGCCGCTTTGTTTTCCTCATCCATCCTGTACTGCTACTGTAGCTGAGGTAGCTGGGTGGGGGTGCAGTATCTGTCTGTCAAAGGTGAGTGTTTGCTACTAAATGGTGCTTGGTGAGCCGAGGCCTCACCTGTGGTCGTGTGTGTGTGTGTGTGTGTGTTGAACGACATGCTCAGAGAGTGAGAGTGTCTGGCGTAGTGCGTTTGGGTGAGGCGACACAATTACACAGCAATCATTTTAACTCAGGAATCTGCAGGAAGCAAACACACACGAGTGCAAAAACACATCAAGCACTTACATTCTCCTCCAGCTCAAGATTAACCTTCCTGTGGACCTCAGAGATTTCCATCAGCACAACACCTGCAGACAAGCAGAGAAAGACAAACAGAGTCAATCCAAGTGTTTCCTTTCCTGTCTTTGCTGAACAGAGACGACGGCGTAATTTGAAGATATTGTGCAACAACATGTATCGTAACAATGAGCTGATGCATTTACTGAACGTCATCTGTGACCTCAACACAGTCAAATGTAACCGGCTGCAGATTCTGTTAAAAAATATTTACTGCGCTAAAAACATTACATGTGCCTGGACCAGAAAACCTGGACCACCTAGAGCTCGGCTAATCAAAAAGAGCTTAGTTTGAAGGAAACCACAAGTTTCAACCGTCCGTCTGCTGTTGCTCACAAATCAATCAAATTAGGATTATTGAGTACGACCATTAGGTGGAAAAGTGTTGTTCTGGTTGACATGTTACACAGAACACAGCTTCCCAAATCTTAAATCATAATGACCACATCTAAATTTACGGTCCCTTACAGATGCGTTTTTCATAAAAACAAACATACAACATGAAAAGGACTCATTATAAAGTTAGCTGCTTTTATGACAATACATACAATTCACTTTATAGTAGCCAAAAGTCTTTTTTAAATTATTTTCAGACATGAACTCAAGTAAACTTGGACAAAAATTGGACAAAGTTGAATAATTTCTTGCTGTAGAAAGCACATTTTTTTCATTACAGCACATTAACACTGACGCCTCTTGAATCTCGTCGACATCTCTGTCAGTGTCTATGGCTCATCTTTTTCATTCCAGACTATCCGAAAGAATATTAATTTAACAAAACTGCCCACACTCATAGATATCAGTCATTTAAATATGTTTTAAATATGTTTTTTTGCTCGGATCCATGCCAAAATGTAATGGGCTCTTTCTCGGTCCATGTCCGGTCCTTCCACCAAGTTTCGTGGAATTCCTGGTAGTAATCCTGACAAACTGCGAAAGCATAACTCCCTTAGTGGAGGCAGTAACAGTGAACCCATCTCTCACGGCTAAAATCAGTGACACTACTCTGAGCCACATGGCCTGGACAGAGCTGTTTGAAAAGGTGTTTGTGTAAAGTCATGCTAGGCTGGTTTAGTCTTTTGCCAAATACCAATTTCAACACCCTGGTAGAATAACTTGTGTGTGTGCACCAAATGTGTGTTTGCAGTAAATCTGATAACGTGAAAGAGAAACAATGAGGAAACTACAGTGGCTCGTACTTCAGGTTGTTCCACAGCAACTAATAATAAGTGTATAGAATATGTTGGGTGTGTTCTCTGTGCATGCAGGAACGTATAGTATACATTACATATGTGCAAACTCTCTGTCTACTACTGGATCATGTCACATCTCAGATATGACAGGATGGAAATTGTCAGAAGGGGAACTTGAGACTTGATGTTGTGAGTTTTTTACTGCACTGAACTTTTCCCAGAGGGGAATTATTTTCCATGTACAGCGAGTGAATGTCACGAACACAAAACGTTCTTCAGTATCCAGCTGTACTCTACTTGGAGGCGGTAACAGTAATGCAGCAGTGAGAAGAGATGCTGAAGACCAACGCTGTAAAATAAACCTATAGTAAGTCTACACAAACCTCAGAGAAGATTCATCAGAGGGAATAACTGCTCTTGTGCCTTAACAGCAGTTCATTGTGTTCAAATTAAATAAATCAACACGTCATTACTTAAAATGCAGCCGCGACTTCAGTGGAAAAAAACAGTCCAGTTGTCTTTACTCAACAACCGTCTGACGTGTGAAGATTTAAGGTGTAAATTCCTGACAGATGTTCAATAGGCTCGTGGTGTGATGCATCACTATGACCTGTACATTCACCAGTATGTAAACACCGCCCTTCCCTTCCGGCTCTGCTCCACCCACTCTACACCACGCCTGCTCCACCTCGCCCTATGGCACAGTGGCTCTTTTTAACTCAGCACAGTTCAAACACTCAGCAGATGAAGGGCGCAACAGTAAATCTGCCCTTTCATGGTGCAGGAGAAACCAGACTGAGGGGGGGGGTGCTAAGGGAGGGACAAGATGGGACTGGAAGAGGAAATGTGTCCATGTGTAGAAAAAGACAGGAAAGGGTACTGTGAGTATTGAAGGAAAGGGATGAAGCGTGTGCTGGACAGAAAACGAGAAAGTAAGATGAAAAAAAAGGGTAGAGACAGATGAAAGAGAAAAGTCATGTGACACCAAAGAACTCTGTTTTCAAAGTAAAGCAGGCACTAAAATGATCAGGCTCCTGTAACTGTCCTGGACTGAACACATCTGACCTCAGAGTCACTTACAACAAGAACAGCGTCTTAATGACATCAGCAGGCGTGGAGCCAAGTCAAATACCTGCCTGACTGGTTTGTTTGTCAGACACAAACGTTATGAGTCATCAACGTATCACTATATCTGGATAACGCCAATGCAAATGTGTCATGTAACCGATTGCATTCAGTTATCTCAGGAGAAACGTCATGGTGAATCAACAGCCCTTTTGCTGCAGCTCACGCTCTTTTGTTTATTGTTGATACAATCCGCACAAAACGTTGCCGGGCAACAGGCGTGCACAATTGAGCAAGGTGTGAGGGCCAAAATGTGCCATGATGTGGACAACACCGGAGGCGATGGCACCGCCATTAGCAAACAACAACGAGCCAAGGTAAACCCACACAATAAAGAGGAGGCTGCCTGTTTACCCTGGATGTAAAAGGGTCTGGAGTCATGGCTGCACACAGTCAGCTCAGAGGAGGCAGATTTATATTTGCTATCACAGGGGAAGAAGCTGTGAGTCACACACAAAAGGCAGCATCTGAGAATTAAGCAACCTTGAGAAGTAAAGACAATGTGACGCAAATGTGAAAATTCAGGAACTTTCAGTTTACCTCAGACTTGGTGAACAGCTGAAGTAAATTATCTTTAAGGTAAAGTTGTTATTTTATAGTTTAGTGTCAGTATGTTGGCTTTGAATGAAGCTTTGTGATTTAATTCAGTTCATCTTTGCCGCTGGTCAGCAAGAGCGACTCTCAGACCTTGTTCAGACCTGGTATTAACATCCGTCCTCGGAGATCCTGACAAGTAATCAGCTCGAAGTTCAGGATTGAACACACACAAATGTGTCCTGGGCCACATATGAAGGACCGCCGGTACTCAGCTGATGTCCTCTGACCTGCTGAATGAACCTGTTTGTGCTTATTTCTCATTTTGACCATTCTAACTGAACTTAACAAATCCCTGTATCTTCATAAGACTGTGTGTGTGTGTGTGTGTGTGTGTGTGTGTGTGTGTGTGTGTGTGTGTGTTTACTGGATTAATGAATGATGTGTTTGTGCGTGTACATTTGTAGAAAGGAAGCGACTCTATATCATCAGGCTCCATTCTTGTGACACAAGCTCTCTGGCCTGAGATAAAGTAGAGCAGGAAAAGGAAAATAATATAGCTTCCAGTTTTATAGTTTTATAGGGAAAAAATAGACACAAGGAGAAGCTGATTTTGTATGCAAAGTGGCCCACAGTTCTCTCACTGTTTATGACCGTGAACAAAATAATCTTGGCATTGGTGAGAGCCACCTGACACACCATGCTAACTTGTTTAGATTATGTAAAGTGGGCATGATGCCATTTGACGGGCCATCAAAGGACAACGTGTGTGTGTATTTGTTTTGTAAGCATCTACAAAGCCATTTCTGCTGTAAAGGGACAAAACTGGACGAGATTAAATTCCCTGCAGACAACAAAATGCTCAAATCCTCACAGGCTGTTTTTTTGGCAGCAATGTGGAGCCCCTGTCAATATTCTTTGAAAAGCATAAATATATTTTAGTTTACAGCATCAGTGAGACTTATTTTAACCTCAAACATTAAAAAGTTAGAAAGAGTGAAAACAAAAAGCTTTAAACTAGGTGCGTCTCTACATCCTGGTCTTTCACATCTTCATTATTCTTTCCTTGTTTGACCAGTGAATTAAACAAATCAGATAACAGAGTTCCTGAATGAAAGAACAGCTGACATTTGACCTCTGGCAGAGGAGGAGGAGGAGGAGGAGGAGGAAGGAGACTAGAGGAGTTAAAAGAGGAAGGTAGGAGGATGAGGTGCACCGGTCCTCCAGTGCCTCTCAAGAGTATCTGGTTTCTGGTTAGCTACGCATCAGTGAAGCTCAGGTTTCTGACGGGGTAAGATCACTACGTCCACGAGTCGTCTCAGAAGCAAAGTGCACAGACTTTTATCAAACTCCTGAACTCTTGTGTCGCAAGCTGTGGACGTTCGGACTGCATTAAGGTTCACAGGCCTGGTTAGATTAGACGACTTTTAGCAATGTGTATTTAATCACCCCTGCTCAACATAATCCCTCATAATGACTCAGACTAAACTGATCTGTCATGAGACCAGAGTGTCCCTCTCTCTGTCTGCCGCTCCCATACAGGGATTAGTGGGTACTGGAGTGTATCCACACATCAGGGGTGAGTGCGACTGAGCCTGGACATCATGACTTCCCCCTACACAAACACTACACAACCATGTCTGTTATCCCCGATCATTTTCTAATTTCTAATGGAGATTAAATCAGATTTTTGGATAAAAATAGCATTTTAATTAATTATATGGAGAGTGATGATAATCAGCAGTTTGTTTGTGTCCCTCCCCTCATTTCCTCTTCACTCACAGGAAGCATATTTCAAGATGCACTCACCAGGACCAGATTTACTGAAAACTGCTCGGATCACTTTCCTCTCACAACTGCAAACAACAACTTCTGGATGAATGCAGACATAAAAATAGAGAAAGAAATTTCTCGGATACTGACGAAAATGCCGGGTCAGGCATCCACTAGTGCACAAATCTATGTACTAGTCCGATACTACGTCTTTACATTTTTTTGCAAATCCAAAAGTGTCTTTTATAACCCCTGAGATTCACAGTCTGATTTTCAGGGTGTTTCACGGTCGAACACATCACTAACCACAAATGACTGCCATCTGATAATGTTGACACTTGCCTGGTCCTTGTCTACACTGCGGGAAGATCACAGTGAACATACGCTAACCACAGTCACACCCTCCACCTGTACACAACATAATCTGTTGGGAGCAATGCACAAATCAATACTGTGATTTTCTAACCACTCAAGAGAATTACACAAAGCTGCTTGTTAAAACACTGAGATGTAGATTGACTGTTTTGCAGAATAAAATCTTTTACAACCACCGTTCAAGTCTACGCGAGAGGAGGTGGGGGTGCTTCTTTGTTTTTTTTTGGGGGGGATGGAAAATTACTTTCGGATGTGCCAGTAAACTGAGACCTGTGCAGCACCAGGTGCCACCTCCCATTGTGCTGGTGAATTTAATTAGCAGTATGCTCCTAATCAGCAGGGGAGTTGAGAGACATATACTGTGGTTAAATCAAAGCGAGCCTCTGGTGACGGTGGGTTGGGAAGCCAGACCTCTTTGGACTGAAAATGAGCGTCTACAGGAACTAACTGACGCCCGGGGAGTCGACGATAAAAACTATCAGGGAACCAAACAAAATCTTTGTCACAATGTTCCTTTTAAGCTCATCACACACACAGCGGGCATCCATCACAAGGGCCGCGTGGGTGTTAATCAAAGCGTACCTGCAGCTGTGTGATGGCGCTCTCTGAGTTGTGTATGTCAGCGACAATGAGAAGTTTTGACAGCGCACACATGTGCCTCCCTTCATCAAAATAAGATACAACAGCAGCCACATCTACACCAGAGACTATGTGAACATGGACAGCGATATCCTGACTATTGACCTTATTCTGAATTGTTTAGATTCTGATGTTTAAATGAGTTGCTAATAGAACATTTCATTCATATTCACGTTTACGTGTTCCAGAGCATAGCACATTCATGACATAGAGCAGTTGTACACGCCAATGTCGCAAAATGCTGCAAAAACTCAGATAGACTGTTAAAATGCAATTACGACATATACATGTCTACATAACACGACTTAGGTCAGAATACTACATGTCTTCATTTCATTATTGTCATCATCACTTACGTGGGCTGGATCTACCTTTACTTTACATTAGTGCGTTTGACATCTGTGTTGTCAAGTAGTGCAAAGAAAACAAGTCTTTACTCAACTCTTTACATTTGAATGGAGAAAATGAATAAACCTGGTCACTCTGTTATCTTTGTTGCCACTGTAATATCATTATGGTTTTACCACCAGCAAAACGTTGGTCAAACATTACGTGTTATAATTGGTCTGAAAGTCTGAACAATCCAAAATGATGTTTTCACACTGCAGTGTCTGAAGGTCCAGACATAACAAGGTAGCTGTGAACGACCCATGATCAGTGTTTAATTAATCTTAAGGCTTTGCACTGATTATCCAGTGGTTATTTTTCCACACTTTGATTTCAGTCTTGTGTCTTTGATCTATGACTGGAACAACTTTCATATAAAGATTAACTCGTCTGATGTGCACAATAGTGTTTCAGCTAATGCTGCCAGACATGACCTAAAGACCTCCAGAAAACCAATAATACATTCCTCTGAGAGACATGTGAGATAAACAGCTATTTGAGGAAAAGCAGGGACGATCTCCACAGTCTGCAGACCTCCCACAGTTTATCCCAGAAGAGAGAGAGAGCCAGAGGACAGGGCAGCATGGAGACTTACCTAATTCTCTGGAGACAGGAGACACTGCAGCATTCTCCCCAATCTTAGACATTGCATCAAAATACAACTTTCCCGCCAGGATCATTGCTGGGAAAACGATAAAATGATCATTAATATTTGTGAGGATAGTTTTGGCAAAATAGAGACTCCCTAAAACCTGTTGAGGACCACTTGACACCCAAAATATTCAAATATAATAGATACAAATAAAACCCTCTACAACTGGAACCAAAACAAAGCTCAGGTTTACTGAAACAAAACCTGAAAAGCAAAATATTACAAAATGTTCAATGAGCTTTGGCCATAAAAGTCTAAAATACTCTTTTGTTTGTGATGATGTGGACCAATGAGGAGGACGGCAGCAGCTCAGTCACACTTAAACCTTGAAATCAGTTGTTTTTCTAACATCCAACTTATTATGAACGTCAATTGAAAAAAACTCACCAGCCACTGATTTCTCATAGTTCTTGCCGAGGTTGACCAGGTTCCTCAGGCCTGGGTTGAACTGCTCCATCACAGTCTGGGTGGAAAACAAAGGAAAGTGTGTAGTTTGTTATGATGTCAAACAGGTTTATTTTGGGGGATTTGGATTGAAAGACGTGGGTTAATCTTTGGGCGACTGAGTGACATCGGATGTGAGTTACTTCACGTTAAACCCTGCGGACTAATCATTAACCGCAGCTACGACAGGTGACCTTTGGGCAAAGATTCACCTGAGTGTCTTGTCTTGAATTGTCGCTCGTGTAATGTGGGTGGAAGCGAGCAAAATGAAGAACGAAAGTCAGAAACCACCCAGAGAAGGAAAGACAGGAAACTAAAAAAGTAAAAAATAAAAATATTTTATTCCAGACACATCGTAGGGACATTTTTGGATTGATAAAAACCAGCATGACGTGGCTCTATCCATTCTTCACATTCTCTGATCGATGACAGGGGGAACTTTCCATAATCCTGTGCTACACTTATCTCTGTAATTACCTCAATTAGTCGGCTATTCTCTCTCCATATCTTGTCTTCCTGAGTGATGACTGTGAGGTGATAAGGTCTTAGTCAAGTCCAGAGTGCAGGAAATGAATCAAATTTCAGAAAGGCCCAAAAAGACAAACATTAACAAAGGTCTCTATCAGAAGATGCTGTCGATCAGATTACATTACACGACATCTTGGATCTTCTAGTTTCACGATTCGTGCCATAAACGTAAACTGTGAAGTCATTTAAAACACAAAACAAATCTTAAAGCAGCAACTCTCCCCCTCATTTGCTGTTGTACTCATGTAAACACACAGTGCTGTGGGACAGCTGTTGATTATAGCTAGAGGGCCAGAGGAGCTTTGCTATATAATCTTACCACACAACACACTCAGCCAGCTAAATTATTAAACCTGGAGTCTCTTTCCTGCATTTCATCACACCACAAGGAGCTGTGGGGTTTGTCCCTGGGAGCAGCAGCAGATAATAACTATTCTAGACGAGGAATACGTGTTTCTGTGAGAGACCATTAAAATCTTCTTCTTTTTCCCTGTGGCCTCTATGTTCACTCACCTTTTCTGTCCCACACTGCACTCAACAGGTGCTACAGCTCTTGGTGGGATTTAATGAGTGGGGCAGCTCATGTTTGTTTATTTTAAACACTTATTAAAGCATCCACTTGTGTTCAGTAAATGAACAGTTAATCATTGGATGACACCACTGCCAGGGAACATTACTAAGCAGCTCAAATGATGCTGATCAACCAGGAACACAGCATTATGAGGAAATGGCACTCCTGTAGGGTGGGGCTATTTACTTCAAAACCTGAAACTAAAAGTTACTTAAAGGTACAGTGTGTAGAATCTACTGTTGAAATTGCATGTTGCAGTGTAACACAACTCTCACCTCACCCTCCCCTTCCAAACATGAAAAAGATCCTGTGGTAGCCTTCAGTTGTCATAATAACTCAAAGGTGTTTAATTTGTCCAGTCTGGACTAATGTAAAAAACATGGCAGCCTCCATAGAGAGAACCCCCTCGATGTAAATATTAAGTATCTAAATATATAGGGCTTTTTCTGGGGTAAAGAAAACTACAATTCATACAATTTAGATGAAATGAACTAGTGAAAACATCATGACGATTATTTTACATTAAATTATCTGCATTAGTTCCATCTCGCCTAAATCTTACACACTGGACCTTTAACAGACAGCTGAGAGCAAACTGCACTTGAACCGTCTATAATCCAGATATTATTCTGATGCAGAGGTAAACACACAACAGTCCAGTCAATGTAAAGCTAGACCCCATTCATTTAAAGACACTTTAAAGGGATAGTTCATCCAAAAATTCACTCACCACCATGTTGATGGAGGGGTCGGTGAAATGTTTGACTCCAAAAAACACTTATCAGAGGACATTTAGGAAAAAACATGGTGTAAATGACAGTTTGGAGTCGAATTTGAATGTGAGGGCTTACAGACACCTGGACGACACCACAGGAACAATATGGAGGCATTTTATGATTTTTTTACGTTTGAAGAATCGGTCACCATTTACTTCAATTGTTTTGGATTTGGCTGCAACGCTGTTTACCCCTGAAAACTCCAAAAGTGTTTTGTGGACTCAAACACTTCACCCGCCCCTCCGTCAGCCCAGTGCTGAGTAGATACTGAGTGAATTTTCCTTCTTGGGTGAACTATCCCTTTAAACTCTCTATAATCTAGATATTTGTCTGACACAGAGGTAAACAAACAGTTCAGTCGATGTAAAGCTAAGACCCCATTCAACTGTCCAAACACAGACACTTTGAAACACACCCTACATTATCGTGACTTAGAAGAAACTAGATATTATGATTCCAGATCTTATTCCCTGTCAAATATCTACAAGAATAAACTGAGACTGGTTCAAGCAGCTTTCAGAGGATCAGCAGGTGACAGAGGACAGTGACAAGTTGAAGTACAGCAGGTGTGTGTCTCCATGGAGGACACATGTCTGAGGTGTTTTGTGCTCGCACCTGTTGTATTCTCACCCACCTTGTATGTGCCTTCAGTGAGCTTGTTCACCTCCTCCGCGCTCCTCGACATGTTTAGATCCCTCACGACGCCCGAGCCACGAGAAGAAAACACACAAAAACCTCACAACGCCAAACAACTCAAAAAGGACAAAAAATAAAAGATCCAAGAAGAGGAGAAGTGACCGAACCTACGGAAACATGACATTCCTCATAGCCAGCAGGAGACGCAAGACGCACATAGTCCAACAAATGAGAAGAATATAAATAAAGAGAGGAATAAGGAGGAGAGTCCAGTGGTGTGTGTGTGTGTATGTGTGTGTGTGCGTGTGTGTGAGCAGTAGAAAAGCTGAGCTGTCAAACTTGTAGGAGGTGAGTTCACCGGAGGGGAGGAGGCCTGAGGAGGGGAGGAGGCCTGAGGAGGGGAGAGAGGCACAAACGTCAAGTTCGCAGTACTTGATCGAATCCGGATAGTTTCATTTTCAAAGTAAATCTCTCTAAATCGTGGGATATCTAATTTCGAGGAGATAACAATAAAAAGAAAGAACAATGAGATTTAGTCCCTTTCAACATTGGTTTTAGCTCTAAAGGAATAAATCTACAACTACAGGTAAACATCCCCTAAATAACAACAATACTACTACTAATAATTAATTACTTAATTTATTTTTACCTAAAACATGTCATTACAAAGTGCTTCTCAATTTAAAATCAAAATCAAAGAGATAGACAGTTATTTTACTTATTATTTAATGATTTTACAGTTTTCAACAGCCTTTAAAAAATAAGGGCAAAAGACAGGGACTTAAGAAAAAGTAATGAAAAAGTAAACCACATACAGCTGGAAATTACTAAGTTGGCTAATTATTAAATTAGTATAATAATAATAATAATAATAACTACTATTAGTAGTAGTGGTAGTAGTGGTAGTAGCATTAGTAGTAGTAGTAGTTGTAGTAGTAGTAGCACATACTTTTTTGTCACTTATATTACAGTTAATTAGATACTACCGAAGTATATTTGTCTATTTCTTTTGTCTTGAGTGATGTTTCTTCTGTTACGCTTTTATTTTGAAGGGCTCGTTCCTCCACGGTTCCGGATGTCCTCAGTTGTCTTGACACTTGTTGCAGGTAGAGAAGGTGGACAATGGACTGAACTCAGGAAACGAGCGCTCCCTGGAGGCAAACAACATAACGATAACATGTTCTTCACACGCCTTCATGTGGAGCTGAAGTTCAGAGCATTTAACTATACGACGATTCAGGTAATAGAAAGAATAAAATCTATATTCTATGAAGAAGGTGATTTACAGAGGATTATAGAACTGTGGGGTTTTAATGATTTACAACTTTAAATGCTACACAACCTGAACTTTAGTTCATATAGTACAAGCACTTTCATGTTCTCTGTCATATTTTTTAACTAAAATTTAAGACACTTCTTGTCGCTCTCTTTTTAAATTAACGGTTAAACCATCTTCACATTTTACTATCTTTCTTTTATGATTCTCACAGGTTTCAATATCACTGCCTCCAAAGTTCAACAGTGTAAAAAAGTTTTTTTTTAATTTTTACCTGATTAAAGTAATTATAAAAAAAATGTTTCAGTAATTATTGTGATTCATTAGTGGATATGCAAAACTTTATGTCACACAGTATCACCATCATTTACACCACAGCAAAGACCAGAGAGTTTTGGGATTTGAACACGTTCATGAGGCCGAACTTGCTCCTACAGGTTAAAGAAACACTTGAGGTATGTGTAGAAAGAAGTGCCTCGTGTCATCAGGTGTCAGTTGTATGAGCTCTTTAGTTAAACATTTTTTACATGAACAATCACTGTATCTCTGACACATGTTCGTTTGAGGAAGTTTCCTGATTTACCACTAGATGCCCCTCATGTTCAGCTGATTTTCTGTCAGGCTCACAGAAGCCTTCTAACATTTGAGACTCAAAATTTGACATCTTCATACATGTAAATCCCCCACAATGCTTTGCTGTTTTTCCAGGTTGAAACATTCCCATTTTTTCATGTTTCAGTGCTCAGCGGTCTGTTAAACATTTCTGTTTTTATTACTATGTCAAACTGACAAAATCAATACCAACACATGAGCTCACAGTATTTGGATTTGGATTTTGGATTTGTCTTGTCGACACATATCAAACAAAGCAGCGGTAAATATCACGAGTATCGTCGTGAAAGCAAATATGCAGACACTTTGATTTGTAAATGTCATCTGATGTTAAAACTTTGGATATCTCCCTGCAGCCATGGGAGCTACTAAAGGAGCTGAATGTAAAATGAGATTGTGCCCTCAGGCTACGAACACATGCCGCTGCTTTTAGCCCTCAAAATGCTTGCACTGTGACACATACAACACAATTAGTCTCCCAACATGTAAAAGCTTTTCTACTTTCCCCCGTCATCTCCTGCATCATGGCCGTCCTGACAACCTCCCACTGAGTTATGTTCCAGGAGGCAGTAATCAAACTCCAAGGATTATCATCATTTTCAATGTGATGGTCAATCACAGCATGTAGCTAATATTTCTGAAGGGCAGGAAAATAACTACATTCGTTCACATGTGAGGTGATTATATATTTATAAGAATGTTTCTGCTTGTCGACCAATATTAAAAAGATATGTCTGTGAAAATGGTTGGGAAAAGAAAAATTAGACATTTGCTAGTATATCTTTGAGTTTTTGTAACATGGTACAGTCCTGTTGTACTGTATCATTGCTGTTAAAATAGTTGTTAAAGTGAATCACAAAAAACATATTGTCTGCATGACCTTATATCTCCAGGAGTTCGGCAAGTACTGTACCCTCTGCCGAGTTATTAGTGACCTCTCATTCATGGTTTGTGTTGAGCATGTCCTCTCAAGGACAGCTCCCCGTCCATTGTGACAGAATAGCTAAGTGCACAGAGGCATTCAGAATACAGCCTGCCTATGCTGCGCTAGCAAGGCCACCTCCTTTTCACAAATGCCATACTTTTCTTCCTCAGACAGTTCTTCACAGAGGCTCTGGATAGACAATGGAGACGACTTGAGAATTTGCTTTTCGCACCTGAAGGTGGAGTGTGTTTTTGCAGTTTACAACCTTGCAAATCCAATCAGTAGTAGATGTGTGAAAGAATAATGTGCAAATATGTTTATCCTCACCTAAATTCTCAGAAACTCTTTATCTAATTTATTTTTCATTGACGTCAATCTTACATGGCTGAAATAGTCTGGGATGATATGAGTCCAAGGTAGATGAAGTTACACAACTTCTCATTAATCGTCCATTTTAACCAGCATCAGGGCACAGAGTGTTGGAACAGCATTATATCCTGACTGGAGGTGCAATTACTCACCAAGCAAGATGATAAATCCAGCCTTAATCTAATGGACAAACCAAACACCTGAAGCCAAACAGTTAATTCCCTTACAAAACATTGTGTTAGGCTAACAACTTGAAGGACATTAAAACAGTACAGCAGGCTATTGTTGCTGTAAAAGAACAGACGGTGAACACCACAGTACAGTTGGCAGGAAATCAGCATTTTCTGAGAGCTTGAGTGAAACATTGACAAAAAGTATATCCATAGCCTGTGCAGCAGTTTTCCTCAGTGTCACAGTGTTCATATAGAACAAATCCTTAGTAGACACCAGGCACTGAGCTTTGACAGTCTCATCGTGATGGATACAGAAACTGGATTTTATCAGTTTTTCAGTTGCACTGCACCAAGTTATTCCCAGAGACCTTTTTCCAAGTTGAGGCAGGGAGGCATACAGCACATCTCAGTCTGAAGTTAAACTTGAAGAAATGATGAGCTGGTGCCTGGAGGAGGCTGGAAGTACTTGAGTATTTGGAGAAAACTTCATGTCACATTAAAATGATTCCTAGAGGGTCAACATTCATTTCCTTAAAATCGAAACTTTGGTTGGATTTGTGATTGTGTGTAGCTTAAAGGAAAACAGGCTATCTACCTACCTTCCTAAGAATACATGAACATATGTTTATGTATTCTTTAACACTATAGAGACTGGATTTATGTACGACATGCTTACAAAGAGTAAATAAGTAACACAGAGTACTTTCTGCCTTTTTATTTTCCACTCATGTCCAATAAGAACTCTTGTAAAGGTGAACTGGATGTTTTTTAATGACTTGTCTTTCTTGGGACCTCGAATGTGTTGACTTTATACACGGGAAAAATAAATCAGACCTCTGGTGTCGGAGGAAGAAATAGTTTTACTGGACTTTTAACAAGTTGAGTGCAAATCAGAAACATGCAAACACTCACAGGCACACACACACACACNCACACACACACACACACACACACACACACACACACACACACACACACACACACACACACACACACACACACACACACGCTCACGGTAAGCAAACAAGCCTGAGCACCTGGAGAGTTCACAGTGGTGAGTGTTTGCTCCTGATGATATTGTGGTCAGCAGTGTGTGAAAATTTAATAACAGAGTTGATGTCAGCCGCCACATCTCATTTGATCGGCTGTGTCGGGTAAAACATAAGTCCCCCGCCATGTATGAGCTCTCCATGCTTCACCGACAACACAACACATCTACAAACAGTAAACAGTAAGCAGCCATGATCCCTGTATAAACACAAACTGGCCTTTTTTTATCCATCAGGAGACTGGAGTCTACGCTTTTGCCAGAGACTGTATTACCATATGGAGAGAAGGCGGTGCAGTGGTTCAGTGGTTTGTATCCCAGCCTGACTTTGCACATCTCCAGGCACTCCAGCTTCCTAGCACATGCTACTTGGGCTAGAATAATCAGAAGCTCTAAATTGACCATAGTTGTGGATGTGAGTGTGGGTACTGACCTGCGATGAGCTGACAACGTTTGCAGGGTGAACTCCGCCTTTTGCCCAATATCAGTTGGGATATCCTCCATCCCCCATTGCAGCCCTTAAAGGATAAGCCTTGGAGATAATGGGTGAATGGACGTAAGTAGAAAAAGTCATGGAGGCGAGGCCTTGAGTGGTGATAAATAATGTTAAACAAAAAACAGACCATGTAGTCAAGAGTAGCTTACGGCAGACGACCTAGGGTTAGTGTAGTGCATCACCTTTTCTTGAGCTCTTTGGCTTATAAGAGTTATTTTTCCAATGCCACACATCAAGTCAACATCTTTCTGCTGAGGAGACACCTGAGTGCCTGAGTTTATCGCTCTCCTCTGCAGCCTCGAGCCTCAGTCAAGGTATGGATTCCCATTAAAAGTCTCAAACAGCAACTGTCTCCATGCCTGCTGGCGGCAACTCATTAACATGAACATTGATCCCGTAATCATTGTGTTTATGCAGAACTCCTCGTGGAATCCA